GGTTTATTATTGGCTTATTTTCGTCGATTATTACGTGACAGTAAAAATTGCATAGTAATTTTTCTGGCGATCCTGGGTAGTTATCACGAATATATCACTAGGTCCACTGATCTTGAAACTTCCCAGAATCACTTCGTTCTCCATAAAATCATATATATCATTGACATCGTTGCATTATTTTCCTAGTATTTAATCAATTATTTATTTTTAAATTTAAAATAAAAATAAAAAAGAACTTCATCTTGTTACGCAAAGAAATTTTGTAGATTTCATTATCTCATTGTAAATCTAAATGAGTGAAAATTAATATTGATAATTCTTCATAAATAAAAATTAGCCTAATCAGAAAAAAATTTACATAGTACTTATAATATGTATTCGTAAGTTTTAATCAAGATCATTCCATAATCCATGGAATCCATAAGGAACAACTTTACCAAGTTCCATTTCCGCTCTGGCAATTTCTTTAAACGATTTAGCATCTAAAATCAATAAAAAGCTAGAATTTTTTGTACCATCAAGCACGATACTTGTTATCACACCATCATCCTCTTCAACAGCGTTTGGTGCAGAAACAAAAATTGGTTCGCTAGGTGTGCATCCAAATTGTCGCCAGATTTTATGATTAAATGATCCATTGTCAGTTTGATGAAGGTCAATTTTTATAAGTCGATCAAATAGAAAGTGAGAATTAGAATCTGAGCGTGAGACACCTAATTTAACATAAGAATCAAAAGTTAGACATGATATAGGATTTACATTTAGGTTTTACACCGACTTACCATAAACATATCGATACTTTTTCATATGATATCTTGAAAAATTAACTACTGGAAGTTCAACATTCAAGTCTTCAGACACTGCGAATACAATTTCTGCGTTCGGAAATTTCTCATTACCATAATTCAAATTTACTCTATCTAAATTTTTTGAAACATTGCCCAACTTATACCTATACAGTCTATTTAATTCAAATTTTTGTGGTTGTTTTTCAGCATCAATTTCGGAAGATTCCAAAAGTCGGTTTATTGTAAGTTGAAAGATAACGCTATTATCTTTAAACTGAGATAAATCAATAATTATATCATCTCCTTCATCATATGCGTTTATTGTATGGAAACAGAAGAATGTTGGTGAGGTATAAGTTGCCACATGTTTTTTAAGGTTACGATCAATAACATAAAAGTGTGCCTTCTTGTTAGGATCCCATGGGTCAAATGATCGGATTAAATTGCGCTCCCATAATATTTTCGCACCATTCATCACAAAATCGCATTGCCTTTAGAAGTTTTTGTATATTAAAAGGTTTATGGTTAGATACAGTAAATGCATGCCATAACCATATTCTAATATTATTAAAGATGTTTCCTAAATTAATTTAAGGAACACCTACTTCCACCATTCATTCCATCATATTTTTCACATGACTTTTAGCTATATAAACGGCCAATTGCAGAAATAGTGAATTTTCATGGTGGAAATAGGCGTTCCTTTAATTTATATACTTTAGGGAATCGTAAACTTCACATAATAGATTTAACTTTGAATCTAACACAGAAATTGACTATTACTTTGTACAAGTAAAAATAAATTTCTATAGTATGTGCAGATAATGGTTGTTTTTAATAAATACCAAATAATTAAAATAACATATTTCTTCGTAATAGAAAAACTATGAATATACGTTAATTTTGATGGAATTGTTGCAAGAATAGTCGTAACAGGTTTTCCAGTTTCTTCATCAGTTTTAACAGAAAATACGTTATACTCAGATCTAGAACCACTATTAGGAACAAATGAAAAATATTCTCCTGTTTCTGCATCATATTGAGAATGAGCTGGTGCCATAGGTCCAGATAAATCAGGATGAAATTCTTCAAATGAGAAATTTTGAATAGGCTCGAGAGTAACTGGATCAATCGACTTTAAAATATTCGCATCGGTTCCTAAAACAAGTGTACGAGTGACCTTTGTTTCAGATTTTCCTTCTGGATATGGAAGGCCTTTAGTGAGAGTTACAGAAACATTTCTTTGGTTTGGATCATTTGCTAGGTTTCTTGGTGTAACAGATGCTTGGAAGACAGTGAAGAACTTCAAAAAAAAAGTTATATTGGCTTATTTCTAATTTATTAAACTATATGTTATAGCACTTACCTTTTTAAATACATTTTTACAAATATCTTGTCCAAATGTAATATCAGTTACTGGCAATCTACCATTTTCTGCTATATAATTTTCATTCGCGGAAGCTATGTTTCTGCTTCTATAAGTAACAACACCGTTTCTAATTTCGAAACGATGAACTATATAAATATGATATAAAATGATTAATGCAATCAACATCAAACATCTTTGACAATAAAAGTAATATCATTGACGCATACCTTGGCCAAGTCCATCAAACCAATGATCAAAAGAAAATACAATTTCTGGATTTTTCTTGGATGGGATTTTAAAAGTTCCAGGGCCAACACGATAAAGAACACCTTCTAACCATTCAGGAATCTTTCCTTGGACCTGAAGCGTAACTGGATCACGGGTCTCAGGACAATTTTGAAGTCCTTAGTGATCGATTATTGTGAAAAATAAGTTTTGGCATGACAATATTTAATAAAAATATTCAATTTTAAATACATGCCTAGTGCATAAGGCCACGGGTTTCTTTCTTGGACAGAAGACATAACTGAATAAAATTGTTTGAACAAATAAATTTTTGCCAAATTTATTTTATACCGTATTAATATTGATTAGTACAAATATTGATGGAGATCTGAAAATTTTATTTTGAAAATTTCGGGAAAAGTTGAGGTTTTTAATAATTCAAAAACGAGTTGATTTAACATTTGTGATAAATTGTAATACAAAGTTTAATACCGTCAATCGCTTATATATATTTGTGCGTCAAATTAAAATTACGTCATTACACATACTGAAAATGAGTACAAGTGATTCAAAAATTTTCTTAATAACGTTATATGTACACTTCAATTACTGAATCAATTATTTAATACTTATAACTTGTCTATTTCGGCAATAAATTGAAGTCTTTTCCTTTTTGCGTGCACCCCATAATAACTGGATCAATGTTTTCTTGAGATATCTTATACTTTTTTTGCTCACTTCGTGTCGATGTTCTGCGTAATTTCTCGATTATTAATCGATTGCATCGTTTGTAAATTTGAAAATAATGCATGTCACTTTGCAATCGGTAAACCACTTATTTATGTAATAAATCTTTTAGCAAATGTATTGATAAAAATTTTTTATTTTAAAAAAATACATGCAGACAAAGAATAATAGAATAAAATAAAAAAGAAAAGAGAGAAGCAAACAGTCTTGGTATATGTTTTTAATGTATAATTTTTATTACTTTTTTTATTACTTTTTTTATTACAGAATATCAAATAATTAAAATTAAACATCAAGATTATAAAAATAAAGAAAATAATAAATGTATTTTTTCTATCAATATTTTATATATATTTTTTTAAATATATATTATGTTTAAAAAATTTAAGAAGATCCAAAATATAAAGCATTTTTTTTATTTTAAAGTTTTACATTCTAATTTATATCTTTTTACTTAAGTATTTGATAAAAAAAAGTCATATTTATATACGACTCAAGATTATAAAGACTATTAATAACTTATATAATTTAAAAATTTTGAGATATAAAATTTAAGTAGTTATAAAAAAGAGTTTAAATTTAAAAATAATATTACAATCTATATATATAGAATATTTGGACATAATATAGTTTTAATATTTAAAAATGATTTTAATATAAATTATTATTATTCTAATTTTCTTTATTGCTTTAGAGGTTTATTTTATTTAAAAAGATTTTTAAATTTCTAAAAATGTTTTAAATATTATAAAAAAGCACTATTCTGAAACTACCAAAATTGAAAAATAAGTAAAAAGTTTCTTTGTAAAATTTAAATTATTTATTTTTATTTATTACTTGTTTAAACAGTTTAAGTAATATTATACTATTACTAACTACTTTGTCTTTAATTGATAGTAAAAAAGAATATGTTACTGTTTAAATAATATACAATTGTATATAATTGTTTGGTACAATAAATTAATGCAATCTATAATTTGTAGTAAGAAAAAAAAATATCTGTTAATATAACATGCAGTAAACTGCATATTTGTAAATAAGTTAGCTTTTTAAATAAAAAACTAACTATGTATTTGTTTGTTATTTTAGGCTAGTTATTTAAGTTAGTTGTTTTAAAGTAATTATTATAAAATTGTTTTAAACTAATTATATATTTTTAAATTTTATTTTAAATTTTATTTTATTTTTTATTTTACTTTTTTTATTATTAAAGTAACTCTCTTTGGTCTTAACTTTATTAATACATTGGAACAAAGAAATTAGAACAAAGAAATTGCCAATTACTATATAATAAGAGTACAACTAGTTATATATATAACTTTTTTATATTATCTATTTAAGAAGTATGTTTAAAGGTTTTTTACCAATTGTTATATCTAATATCTTTGTTTAAATATTTTATTTTAAACAATCTAATTCTATATTCTAATACTTCTTTATTAAGTTATAAGTGTATTTATTCTTTTGAATTCTGAGTTCTTGTCTTTAATTTTTAGAACTACTTTATCTTTAAAAGTAATATTTACTAAATCTTTTATAGTTTATTTTATAAATTTCTAGTTTCTAATTTTTATAAAGTTTATATACTTGTAGTATCTTCTTTTATAACCTTATTGCTGCTTAGTCATTCTTATAAGTTCTTTATACTATTAATTTAGTTAGTCATATATAATATAACTTTATATTCAGATTAATTAATGATCAGATTGGTAGTACCTCTATTTAGTATTTGAAATATGTTTTAAAATTTATGTTCTTATAAGAATACAATTATTTAATTTAATGTTTTTAAAATTCTTTTATGTTCTTAATACTAAAAAGTTTTATTATTATTTTTTGAAAAATTTAAATAATATTAGTAATTTATTAAATTTTGTTTTAAACTTGCACATTTTTTATATTTATTCATTTTTTTTTTAGAATTTTCAGACTTAAATTATTTTCTAATTTAACTATATTTATCTTACATTATATAAAAAACATATTTATTAAGTAATATGTTCTTAAAAATTTTTTATAATAAATATATTCAAAGTAATAAATGTTTTTAAATCCAAAACTATGTTCTTCTAAAAATATAAGAATATTAAATTTTCTATACTATTCTTTTTAGCAGTTTTTGTTTATACAAATTATCTGTTTAGAATTTTTTTTTTAGTTAAAGTTTTATAAATAATACTATAAAAAGTTGTACTGTTTTTTTATTTAGAATTTCTAAGCAAACTTCTTATATTTTTTAGATTTATTTATATAATATTTTATATATCTAAATTATTTTGATACAATAACAATTTGAAATTATAATATTCGGACACAAATTGCTAACTCTTTTCGATGATCATTTGTACCAAAATTTTGCTAAAGAAAATTTAATTTACTTTAACAAATTATAATTAAATATATCTTTTAAACCAAATAAAACTGTTCTTTATTATATTTTACATATACATACAAAATTTTATATTGCTAGCTTAAATATTAAATAAATTAAATAACTATTTGTTAAAACACTTTAAAATCACTTTTACTCAAATTTAGCCAAGGAAACTTGTCTTGTGCTTTAAGACAAAGTTGTCCAGCTCACCTCTGGCTTCATTTTTATATATGTTTTATCAAAAACGGCTAAAAATTAATTATTTTATAAGCAAAAAACTTCAAACAGCTAATTTTCTTAAAATTTTCTAAAAATTTGTTTTTTTCTCTTTACCTTCTCCAAATCTGGACCTCAAACACGTTTTACAACACCACTTTTTAGTGGTTCACTCAACTAACCATCATTTTATAACTATTTCCCCTTTAGTTCTTAATTAATTAACACAAAACAAAAAATTACAAATTTGTACTTATTCTAAAATTATACAATCTTGTGTATACTTTTTCTATTTTTAGCAGAAGTTACACAAGCCTCACATTGTACTACAAGCCACACCAGCCACCAGCCACACCAACCACAGCCACACTAGCCACAAAAAATAATACAAAGTGTACAATGTTATATGAACTAAAAATTACTTTTTTTGAAGCTATCAATACTATCTTTAATAATATCATAATAATATCAAGCCAAAATGCCTACCTTAATCATTGATGAACCTGATTCTCATGCTTTAGACTATTATTATAATAAATATCCTGATCGCTTTGGTATCGGAACCAAAGAAACTGATCTACTTACCTTACACATCTTACCTAAAGATGTTAATCCTTCAAAATTCGAACTCAATAAACAACAACATTACTTTAAAATGCCAATTCAACATATGCTATCTACTTGTCTCTGCAACAAATACCATACCAACTTTACCTCCAAACATTACAAAATTACACATACTACACCTTCTCATCAATCTTCTAGCTTAAGTACAATGGATATCTCCCTAACTACAGTGATTTCCAAAAACCGTTTTAACAACATTACTGACAAACTATCTAACTCACCTATCACTAAACAACAACAACAAAGTCTTCTATCTACATCTCAAATTTTACCATCATCCTTTCATACAGACCCATCTTCTGTGGCAATTGTTTCACACTCACAACACTATCATACATGCACTCTATGCAAAAAAAAGGATATATCATATGTTCTTATTTAAGAAACATGTCATGCACTGGACTACTCTATAGCTGTAATTTTCAAAGGCTTTTTATTCTACTGAGACTGTGTCCATAGCCTCCAATATACTAAACTCAAACCTCTTTCTTAAACTCAAGAACTCACTAAAAAACAACATTCTATCTTTCATCTCCTCTATTTTTACAAACTTACTAAAGAAGAAAAATCAGTTTTTTTTCAAAAACTTGCCTTTAGAGAAAAAGAAAAGAAACAAAACTCTAATCAAACAAAACAAAACCAACAACAAAAAAATACAACTAACCAACCTAGAGATACTTCTAATGACCTAGACTGGTTTCTTAACTGTCTAATTACTGAAAACATGGAACTAAATACAAAACTTAATACATTACTCACTCAACAACTCTTCAATTTCTCAAAAATTCATCTTCACAAATTTATTCCTGGCCAACCAATTCCCTCTATTCCAAACAATACTTAACCAACAACAAACCAAAAACCTCCTCAAAAACAAAGCTTTAATTATCTACTTAAAACAATGGTTGCTGAAAAACCAGAATTTTTTACAAACTTCCTTCACTAATCTAACCCATCACTATTACCTTAACTCAATATTTCACAATATGTTTATATCTCAACACTTAAAAATCTACTTACTAAATTTACTAAACTTCTCTTCACCAAACTTAACTACTTACACATCTTCCATTCTCACTACTCAATTCCATCTCATCCAATCTTTGATCGCTGTAAAGTAGCAATTAACTTTGCCTGACTATACTTATTTCTTCATAACAAATATCAAACAATTCACTACCAAAAATTTATTGGGAAACTAGAGCTTTATCCTCTTAGATTATCAATGAAATACAATCTTGAATATGATGCTCCAAAACCCTTATTCAGTATCTACAACAACAATCACTTCACTATTACTGTTACCCTTAATATTCCTAAAACCAAATTCATTAA